AGGCCACCAAGATGCACAGTGATCATATAAGCGTCACATTTTTCTGTGTCCCTCCCGAAAGACAGCGCCACCTCCCGGAAAACAGCGTCACCTCCCGCACAGCACACTAAAAGTACGATAGGTGTATATACAGTCAAGTAGGTTAAACTAAAACATATGCATATCCTTTTTAATTGATAAAAAAACCTCTGTTATTTAATATTCTTACTAAATCGTTTGATCCTGTCTCCAGTCCTTATACGAACGCGTGCCCCCGTGCCCTCAAACCACATCTTACCATCGTTCTACGGGCGTTTGTGCCTTTGCCCACGGACGACTGTCTACCGCCCTTACAAGGACCTGTGTCCCTGAGTCGCCGGACGACAGCACGGGGGTAATATATCGGTTTCCATTTTGGAGAAGAGACGAACCTGACCGAGGCCGAGATGTATTAGAGATGAATACCATGTATTGAATTGACTAATTTAAAATTCACCTGGTCCAAATCGTATTAACAAAGACGCAGGTGCGCAAAAAGGTGTTACCAATTAGCAGCCTGTTATGTCATCAATCTGGATAGGAGAGGAGAGGATTGTCAAGACACCGATCTCCTATGTTTAATTGTCGTTAGAAGATTAACAAAAAATTGAACTTAACAAATGTTTACATGCAATTTAAACTACAAAAATAAGTAAAAGCCGTTCTGTAACGATCGAGCTATGAAAAGGGGTGAATGGGGGACCTTTCTCGTTGACATACAAGCGGACACATCGTGGCCACTTAAACATGTACGGGAACCTCAGTTATCCTTATCGTGCCAGCCAATGGAGGCCCTCTCCCAGTCTCAATATCACTCGGTTAGCTGTGCAAACATATCCCTCCCCTATATCTGGTTCTTTTTATATGTCTCGTCAATGCCAGTAACACACTGCTTTTGTCCACCAATGAAACTAATTGTCAAATTGTGTTTATATATCACAGTGCTGACTGAAATTAACTAAGTGTTTAAAAGTTGCGTCACTAAGTAAATAATCGGTGTCTTTCAGAAGAAAAATTGTCCTCAACACGCTTTTCGAAGATATTTTTGACTTTGAATTTACGTTTCAAATACAAGGCGAATAGAATTTGAATAACAGTACCAAGGCCCCGGGCGTCTACATATAAAAGGACTAGTTCGTTTGGCGCGAGACTTTGATTTGGCCCTGGTATGACAGTTTGACGAGTGTTGCGTTGGGCTGTATGTATGGAATGGCGTTTGTCTGTCCAGTTATCCCTATAAAAGTTAGTATGACGTTTGCTGGTTATTCCATGAAACTCGTAGGTTTCTAAATCGTATCATCAGTGGTACCAGGTCGTTATATGTGCTATCCGTACATCACCAACCGCGCGCCCCTCTTATTGCAAAACAGATTCCATTAACAGCTTGCTTACCAACTGAAATCAAATCCAGAACACCCAGCTTTTCAGTCAGTATTTCATCCAATTATACACATTTTTTCGAAGAAAATGGAAAGTAATGCGATTTGTTGGCATACAGATTTTACCATTGCTTCGATACATTGATATAATCCCGATAACGTTAGGGTGCGATTCATTTGTTTTTTTAAAAAGCGAAATCGAACTGTAAGTCTGATAACCGTTTTCCTCAATCGCCACTTTCCGTAAACGAGAAATACGTATTTTCTCGTTTACGGAAAGTGCCAACGGTTCCCGATTGGTTCCTGTGCGCCTGGTCACTTTCGTCTGGTTATCTTCCGGCACATTCGATTCGCAATTCCCCGGGAATTTCTAACTTCCGGAAAAGAGAATCGAGCGCACCCAAATCCTCTACGGCTTTTCGTCTAAACGTTAATTATTACATTATTCGTAACCAAAACAAAATACATCAGTACAATCAATAGCGACAAAATACGTCAGATTTGGAGAAGAATTTCATCTATGCACTTCACATCAGTGTCTTTGAGTAGTTGACAACAGCAGATACCTCTCGTCCATACATAATATGGGAGTGCTTTGGGATAAATCTTACATCAATTTTTGTTTTTGTTTTTGTTTTTTACAGTATTTATATATTTTTAATATTAATTTTTTATTGTGTCTAACTTCTATTAATGCTAATATCATCATGCTTCACATCCGAAACTCCGAAATCCAGATACGTGTGGTTCTGTCTCCAGGTCAAAGTCCTTAAAAATGGTAGTCGTTATTCCCTGCTGAAACGATCAGCACCGTTATCAGTATAAGGTGACCGGGCGGAATGCTGTGCTGCGTGCCTTCTGCATGGTATTTCAGTGAGATAGCACTATAAAGTCGGCATCAGATCCGCGCTATCACAAGGAGGCAAGCACAACAACATACCCTATCTCCTGCATACACACGCAAGTACGCATACACTGCACACATAGAGGCACGTCCTTAAATGACCTTAGCTGTTAATAGTACGTTAAACAAAATTAAACCAAACCAAACTCATTTGCGAATTCACATCATTCGCACTACAAATTTCGTAGTGTGAGCCCTGAGTACGCTGTCATTGAGGGAGGCTGGCAAAGAAATGAACATTGAGCACAATGAAACAAACTACCGCCACTTTAATACTTTAGATTTATGATAATGGGTTTCAAAAATAACTTAATCCATTTATACTTGGCAATGAATCCGAACAGGTGCTATCTTAAACAGGATTTTTTTACAGCAGTAGTATTTGTATTGAGTACTTCACATACAAGATCGTTCCTAGTTCATGCCCAAGTGTCGTCTGCTTCCTAGCTACCCAGGCCACACCGCGCTCGAGAGCTTTGACCAGGTGTTTAGATTGGTGGTCTTATCTGCTACAGGTACAGGAACAAACAGGTAGACAAACAAGTTTGGAGGGAAGAAAAAGGTGTTTTACATTTTATTTTGATGTATTGCCTATCTAAAATAGGCAATAGTGATTGATAAATGATATCACGTGGTACTCTAGTATACGCTCAATATTGATCATTTAGAGATATCACAACGTTCATTTTTTAAGAATACCCTAATTTTTTAAGAATACCCTAATTTGTGAACAAAAAATGTCATCACAAGTGTGTTTTGGTTTAGACATCTATTTCATCAATGTTTAGGTCAAAGGTTAACATCAGCGTCTGCCACTTCAATGTTTTGATACTTTCTCGTAATATAAACAAAATATAGGAATGGAAATTGTTGATGATTCCCCACAGTAGGTATGTTGAATGTGAACAGTATCCTGAGTGTGAATAATTTGAGGTCAGACCTGAGCGGAAACGCGTGTGTTGACCCGAAGTTCTGCGTTCTATATCCCTAATACCGACATACGATTTGTTCCTTTCAGCTCATTTCTTACCTGGATTTCAAGTATGTATATGCGTTGGATGTCGACTTCTGACGGGCAGTCTTACAAAGCAATTTCTTGAGATAAGCAAATTGATGAAGACTACGGACAAATTTTGTGGGCGCTATTTTAATCTCATTGGGAAATAGATCAAGATTGTTTATGATCCTTATTTGTTCGCCTTGTCGTTCAATTGTCAGTACCTCGGCTCTCGCTTTGAGGACTTGACATTACATTATTTGTATGTTTTTTTCTAAGCCTGTTAATTCTCTTTGTGAACGTGATTGTTTTGTGCTGTTGTGATCACATGTATATATAAGCATCAATAAGGACAATCGACGCTTCGCAAGATCGACCTGCTGGTGATATTTCGGTTTTGATCCAAAACTCATTTTTCATCATGTATGTTAAAGTGTGCTTGATTAGTTTAAACATATCACATGACCGAGAAACAAACCATTGAGTCTCCTTCACATAATGAGTTTGCGCACGCGATCCTTTTCCCTGTCGAATATCTCTCCCGGAGACTCTTTGGTGGATCTTGTGCAGCGTTGGGTTCCGGACAGCTTTAGAATGGCCGGAATAGTCCCGATCACCTTTGCTACAGTATCATTGTCCTGTCCGGTAGTTTGGTGTACATACCGGTGCGATTCTGAGAGGGTCGTTGTCTACAGTGTAGCTCAAGTGATGTGGTTTGGGTTAAGGTTTTATTTTGTTATACGTACTATTAACAGATAAGTTCATTTAAGGACGTACCTCCATGGGTAACGTATGCATGCGTGTATGTATGTGTGCGGGAAGCAGGGTATGTTGGTGTATTTGTCTCCTTGCGATAGTGTGTGTCTCATGCCGACTTTTACAGTGCTACCTCACTTAAAAAAAACATGCCGAAGGCACCCAACACAGTATTCCATCCAGTGACATTATACTGACATCGGGTGAACCAGTTGTTGCCTTTCCCCTAATTGCTGAACGTTAAGCAGGTAATAATAACTACTATTTTAAGGACTTTGATATGTTCTGGCATGGGGACAGAACCCGTGGCCTATCCCACTAGGGCGAACGCTCAGCACTACGGTCAAACGTGAGGTATTGTCAAGCAAGGCACGAGGATACAAAAAAGGTTGTTGGGGAGTAGAGAGAAAGTCAACGGTAGTGTGATGTTATGGAAATGTTACACGCCGATATGATTCATCACTGTGGTCCTACCGGCTACACGTTTTGAGAAAGTCGCCGTGTAAAAGGTTCCATACGTTAATGTTTTGTCCGTAGCTCAAGCAACTTCAGTTTAATATGTGTTTGTAACATTACATGCATCGGTGACATTAAGGAGACGATTTAGACTACAATATGCCGTTTTCCTTTCGTTCCTGTCCAACTAATTTACAATTCGCACCTGTTAAGTGGGGCTTTTACCATTAGATACCTGAATGGGTGGAAATTATGCAGTCCTTTTTTTTCATCTGGGTATGTTCATGCTTAAAATACATTTAAAATTTTACTTTATTTAAGACCACCCCATCGGTTATGTGAAAGGGGATGGATGCCCAGACTACCGTAGTGTCGGGATATTTAAGGCGGATATGTGTTAGTCATGATTGGCCTGTTGAGATGAAACTAGTGGTGTTCTGAGTGAATGACACGTCTAATTGCCCTTTCCACGATTAAACCCTCCCGCAAAATGGAGGAGAAATTCAGTTTGTCGGAGGAGCAAGCGTTTCCTGTACCCCACGTGGCACCCGTCATGATGTCTGGGCCCGTATTGACCGTTCTCGTGCTCAAACCGACTTTCTTGCTGTTGGCTTAAAATCACAGATGTCACCACACATGACACCCGTCATGATGATTCCAGTAAAAAAAATGGGAAAGTTTGTGGGTCGTCAACTACACACTGAAATGTTAGTGTTAAAATCAGGTCACATGTTGTCTTGAAGTTGTTCAGCGTAGAAGAACGCCCCTCTAGTTGAAAACCATTGCTAAGTAGTATACGGGCCAAAAGAACGTTTCCCAGAAAATTCTTGTATTAAGCTATGAAAGAGAATTCCCTACAAAGGCAGGCTGGTATTTTTCTTCTTAGAGAGGGAATGTTATCGATCGTGAAATTTCACGTTTCTCACAGTCATAGCTTAATAATGACATGACCATTTCTTTCTCTATTCTTTTTTAAACCTTAAGGTGTTTCTTAACATCGATTCTTCCTTATACATCTCATTAATAACTTTTCAGCAACCTTAACATTTATTGAATGTTTGAAAAGAAGAAACATTAAGAAAATCTTAGAAAAGATGTCAAAAAATAGATAAAGAGGAAAGGTGACGATCAAAGGAATTCATTTATATGCTTATTCAGTGATTTTGCCATTGCATTTCTTTATACCATATTATGTCACTAATTGGCCATGATTATGATTGTTTGATAAAGTGATGTGTTACCTTGAAAGAGCAGGACGTACCAGGGACGAGGCGGGAAAGTGTTTTATTGACTTATATTTGATAAGTGTGATGGCTAGTATGTGAACTGCAACGTTTTTAATAATCATGGCGGTGCTTTGTGACATACTAATTTTGTCAATAGTTGATTTAGTGGTGATTTATTCTATGTAACTTGTATATACATTTAAACCTTTGTCGAGTGTCCATTTACAGGACTGCTGACATTTTCATCTACTATTGCATAGTTATATTTTACAGAATCGTGTTCCACATACTCATTGAAATAGACCAATATGATATTACCATCTGATAATCATATGTATATTGATATGTTATTCATTCCTGGTTTCCACTGCATACCAATCCATTACCCCCTATTCCCGTAATTATTCTATTGTACATATTACTTCATTCTTGCAGCTAGTGTTGAAAAGCGTATTACTAAGCAGGTAACAAATTTACATAAGTGTCACGACACTTGTTTTTGTTTCCTTTTCTGTTTTATAAAACATGTATTTCGATGTATTGTCAAACAAAATTTGAATAAAACAAAGTTTAAACCAAAGGAATTCACTTGAACAGAACCGAAATCTGCGTCCGAGTGTACGTAATAGGTACGAAGATATGTTTTATAGTATTCATTGGTAGATATATAGAGAAAAAATGATCACTCTATAAAACTGCGTGTACTCTTAAGTACATGGCTTAGACAATATAATATGTGTATTCCATTTTCTCCCATTGATACTTAAACTTTGTGGGTAATACATCGGATTTATTGGTAGCATCTTGTTGCATAAGTATATTTTTCAAAATGCAATCTACCAGCTATAGCGTCGCGATACTCATATACAAATAATCAATACCAAATACCAAAGATAAACTATTCCTTATTGTTGTCATAACGAACAGATGTATCTTTAAAAAAAAAAAAAAAAAAAAAAAAATCTGCACTTCTTCACACTTAAAAAATCCAAGTTAACTTTGTTTCAATTTCTGCGTTATATTGGGTAATGATTTAATCTTCCTTGTAACAAGCATTTCCATTGGCTTAAAAAATTATGTTATCATCCCATTTATTATTTGTAACGCAAACTCTTCGTTCGAATTTATTCAACTGATATTTGCAGCTTAACGATTAATTGAAGAGTGTGATAGTCCGAACTATCTACCGGATGTTAATCTTTACACAGCAAAGAATTTCCCAGGAGTGTGGATAGCTGTATTATCTGTTGAACTAACTTTCTCTATTGATTTCTAGAGCACAACTGCTGTACTTCTTTCCTTTTTAATACCTTTGAGTAGACTTGTGTCAGTACAATTAATTAATTTAAAAAACATTATTCCACTCGTCTATTCCAGTTTAATTAAATTATTGTAACAGAGCATATAGACTAATGCTTCATTAACAGCAATGTAACCTGCTACTTTTGTTTAGATTGTACTAGATGTAATTTAGGAACATTCAGTTACTGTGTATATTAATTTCTAAATGAACTTATTCAACTGATCGTATTTAAAATGTAGTCAGAATACATATTTAGAAATTAGTGCACTCGGGTATACATTGTGAATAATTTAAAAAAAATATTCAGTAGAAAAAAATCACCCCACTGTGACCGCTTCGTCCGGTATTCCCTCTCCCACCGATCTATTCAGAGGAAGTAATGAGTTTAGATAATGATAGGTAATAGAACAAGTTTGCCCACATTTAGGAGGGACTAATACATTTCATATAATGTCAAAAATGACCCATTTCATGTGTACTAACTGAATGTTTATAAATGTTCACGTATGCATTCCAACTTTCAACAACACTGTATACGGCATAATGTAAGTTGTATGTATGATGATGTATAGAGCGAGTCAAGTGTAAGTATAAATGGATACACATTCACTGGCTACAGAGACTGGAAAATATACCAAAAACACTAAGGTATTGTAAAGATTGTAACTGATGTGAAAGATGATTTTGATTTTTCATTAATCTATAGTAATTTAAAAGCTAAAGATTGTGGTTTATTAAAACATAATACACTGTAAAATATCTTTGTTTAATAAGGCTGTTTACTTGTTTTAAAAAAGTGTTCAAAATAGGAAAAAGCTATGTATGTTCTGTGTGTTAGGAAAAGATCTTTGAAGCTAACAAATTAAGAACCCTTAAATTAGCATGTATATTATGTACAGCAAATCATTTTTATACATTTTCACGCCAGTGATTTTGTATCTATTATACACTGACGGGTCCAAGGCCTTAGGTTTGAATAAGATATCGAATGTATGATGTACGTACAGCATATTTGTATATACACCGTGTCTATAGGTTGTATGTAAGATGTATGTACCGTGTCTATAGGTTGTATGTAAGATGTATGTACCGTGTAGGTGGCAGTAATTAGAATAACAAATTAACACAAAAACTCAGTCTCGTCAATTTCAGGTTTTTATTTGCTAATCCAGTTCCTCGTTCATCACCTGCGCGCACCTGTTCGTGATAAATAAGGAAACGTAACCCACCTTTACGATTGTTTACAACGTTAATTAAACTCGGTGGCGCAAATCGAAGAAATAAAGTAACATCGATGCGTTATGTGAGTAACAAAGACAACTTAACACTGGTGTGCATTCCTAACGGGTCCGTAACTACAACTGTTGCGAACTTCTAGTGGATGTGGTGCTTATCTCCGATGAGTGTGCTAATACCCAATACAAGATATTGTGCTAACATCCAATGAATGTGGATATTGTGCTAACATCCAATGAGTGTGACGCTGATCTCCGACGAACATGGTGCTAACGTTCTATGATTGTTGTTCTAACATCCAATGAATGTGGATATTGTGCTAACATCCAATGAATGTGGATATTGTGCTAACATACAATGAATGTGGATATTGTGCTAACATCCAAAAAATGTAAAAAAAATAGTGTGCTAACATCCAATGTGTGTGACGCTGATCTCGGACGAGCATGGTGCTAACGTTCTATGATTGTTGTTCTAACATCCAATGGATGTTGTGCTAATCTCCTATAGGATGTTGTGCTAACCTACAATAGACACAGTGCACGGTTACAATGGATGATGTGCAAATATTCTATTCGTATGGTACTTAACGCAAATGAATATATTACTGACATACAATGGCCGCGGTGCTAATCGCCAATGGGCGTGGTGCTAAACTACAATGGATGGTGTTACTAACTTTCATTGGGTGTAGTGTCATCCACAATTGATGCTGTGCTAATTTACAATAGTTTTAGTGCTCACCTACAATATGGTGCTAACGTTCATATAAACCTACCTAGGATGAACCCCTGACGTTGGAGAAAGATGGTCGTGACGTTGTTATAATTGTGAAGTCATTACCATAATGTTGTGGACAGCTGGCCAATACCAGCTGTAGGCTGTTCCAGTGATTGAAAATCTACCCCAAACTTGAAGACATGTGCATCGTAAATAGTATTTTATTGACAAAAGCAATGCAAATATATCAGTATTTAACTACAATGTACATTCTGCGTAAAAACATTCCTTTAGTGTATATACATGTAGTACTTTACTTAAGGAACGATCAACTGACCTCAACATACCGGTACTACTAGCATCAAAACTTCACAAACATGCATTAATGATACGACACTAGTATGTTCAAAATTCAGGCACAAAGATTGTAATATTTTTTTCTCTGTTTCACCACTTTAGATATATATATATATAAAAGATATTAAAATAATCAAGTTGATTCCTCGACAATCCCGACTATGTAAATTCTGCAATACTGTAGAAGATGAAGTACATTTTATATTTAAATGCAAAATAAATATAAATATCAGGACTACGTTCCTCCAAAAAATTAAAATTAACCCATCATTGCCTGATCTACAAAATTTAATATTATTATTGTCATCTAATGACCCACAGCTTTTGCAGGAAATAAGCCTCTTTATTAAAAAGTCATTTGAACTGAGGAAGGCAAGCTTGCAGGATGCATAAGTATGTAGTTTTTGCTGTCCATTACACAGTATCAATGTTTGTTTGATGTTTGCAGCTCGATCCTTGTAAATTGGATGTAAAATGCAATAAAGTTGATTGATTGCTTGATTGATTGATTGTGTAGATTTGTTTATACACACATTTGTATAAGAGTCATCATACTTTAGTTGTTAAAAGATGAAAAACAAAAAAACAAAAAATATAACTATAATGATTTGGGGATTATAGGGTTTATACTGAAAAAAATACACAAACATACACACAGGTGTTTTTTTTTCAGTATATATCATATATCCACAAACAAAATCACGCGTTTTCCTTATAATTGAATTT